TATCAGCATAGGTCTCTGAATGACTGTGTGGTTCACACCCCAACCCCACACACCAATTCCTTCCAGGTATCAATAGTCTTTTCCTGAATTCTGACTGTATAAAAATGATGAACATCTGTTGAGGGGAACTACTGTGACTTCAAGGTTTTCCTGTTAAAGCATTTAGTATTCTCTAACAAATGTATACATAAATGTAATGCGTATGTTTCTCCATCTGTACAATAGAAGAATAATAGCAGCTATTCCTGATTGTGACAATTAAATAAGATAAGCCACTTAGCACAATGACCAGATCCTAGTTGGTTCTCAAAAATATTAGTCACTGTATTTAGTAATGCAATAACTACCTTTTTTTGTTACTGTGACAGAATCTCCAACAAGGACAGCTTACAAAATAATGTACTTTGGTTCAGAGACATACAGTCCACTATGGTGGGGAAAGTACACTGGGCAATTGGGTTCTTCAGAGCAAGGGTTGGGAACTGGTCATATCCCATGGGAGAAAGGAAGCAGAAAGCTAGAAAGGAATTGGAGGTGGGCTATAACTCTCCAAGACTGGCCCTACTACCCTGTGTCCATTAGTGAAGCCTCACCTCCTAACAGTAATAGAACCAACCAACACACTGCCACCAGCTAGCAACTAAGTGTTTAAGACACATGAGCCTATAGGGAATATTTCCCATCAGTAAGACAGACACTTTTTTTTTTTTTACTGCTATAGAAATAAATATAAAACCTTCACTCCAGCCACCTCCACAATAAACTATTCTTAATTGATAAGGGCTTTCATAATCATTGGTTTCTTAACATTTAAAAATGTATGATACTACTACTATTTTCAATTACCTGAGTTTTTATTAATATCATCATATAAATAATCTTCCCTCCTTTTTCCCATTATACCTGACTTGTAACAGCACATATGTTTTTACATTAATGTAATCCACTGTCAACCATCCTTAACATTTTTTCTGCTAATAAAAGAAGTGATAAGAGATACAAGTCTGCTGCAAGCCATCATCCAAGACCAATAAGCAATCTTCAGAAAGCCTTTGAGTTATTTAGAAGACAATGGCACACAAGAGATACAACCTGAGACACTTGTCTTCATTACTTACTAAACATCAAGGTATTATTTAGTGCTGCCTCAAAGGCTCATGGGCAGATGCTGCTTAGTGGTAAAGTGCTTGATTAGAATGTCAAGACTTGGGGCTTGGTGCTCATTGACAACAAAAATAAACAAGAAAAAGGAGAAAAAGACAGAAGTAAAAGCAGTTAAGATGAATCTCAAGACATGAACATCATCATGTCTATTTCAGGGACGAATGATCTGGGAATTCAAAAAGGAAAGCAGTGTGTTAATCTAGGATGGAGTCAGTATTCAAAGCCAGCTTTGATTTAAAACTAAGTGCTTTGATTTTAGTTAGCACTTCTCATCAGGCCAGGTCTGAGAATCTCTGCCCGGCTTTTGACTTACATGAGGAAAGTCAATGTTTGTATGCCGAGTGACTTTGATTCCACAGACACTCAGATGGGCTGCCTTGCCTCTTTGTATTGAAAGTGCCCCAAGATACCATCCTTCTTGGTTGTAATTCATACATAGAGTCCAAATCATGTATCTATACTCACTATACTCATCTACATGTAGATTTGGACAGCTGGACTTTTCTTTTTCTTTTTTTTTTTTTTTTAAGCCCTGGCTGTCCTAGAACTCACTCTGTAGACCAGACTGGCCTTGAACTAACAGAGATCCTCTGCCTCCCAAATGCTGGGATTAAAGTCATGGGCCACCACTACCTGGCTTAGCTTGACCTTTCTAAAATGACACTCTGGGCAATCAAGGCACAATGCTGGCAATCTGAGTCCTTCCCCCTTCCAACTCATGCTCTCTATGCTGGTTTGCTGATATGGAAACTCTCACAAACTTTGATAATTTCTCATTACAGAGCAATATTTAAAATCCTCAAATTGACAAGCCCTAGAGTGGTAAAATGCCCCTCTTCCACATTACTAATTCCTCAACTCAGAGAAGGTAAGTGAACTTTTGAACTCTTAAGATGAATGTCATAGTCATTAATGATGATTCCAAACTGGGGCTAAGGCTATGGTAAGTTAATGATAACCAAATGACTCCAGTTCCCTTTTGTTTCCCCAACCAGGGAATGACAAATGAGAAATGAACAGTTTTTCTGAAACCTGTGCAACATCCATGCTGCCACATCAATGTTCTTTTTGTTTTAAGAACATGTCCCTAGATGAGTCATGGAGCCTTGAAAAGATGAGCAATAGAAGAGCACCATGGCCTACCAGGGCAATTATAAGAGAACCAATTGAGTCAGGGTAGGGAATCCACAGGCTCTAACAGCATGCTCACCAAGCCATTGCCATTTACCACTTGTTTTACCCTGGGCAGGTGACTCACCTTCACTGTAGTTAGTTTCCTGGCCTGTAAAGGAGGGTTCTTCATGTGTCAGCTCCAGGACAGACTTGAGGGATAACTAAGTGTAAATTGCTTTGGATAGAAACTGTGAGCCGCTAGCTTTGGCAATAGCATCTTCCAAACTGACCTGTCCACGGCCCTCCTCCACGCTCTCTGTACCAGCACCCTTCTATAGCTCGAATCTTTCTTCCTTTTTTTTTCCTTCTCTTCTGCTCATGCAGGGTTCTGACTTTGCGCCCTACTTTATTGCCTATCATTTCCTTCTCGGTAGGGTACCATATTAAATGAATCGATGCCCCCAGTCTTCCTCTTTCTCTCCCCTACCAGGTATCAATAGTCTTCACTGTATAAATAATACAGACAGTACCTCGGCCAAACAGAAACATTAATTTGTTCTCAAACATATATATTCCTTATTCCCTCCCAAGAAAGTGTTTCTTTATATTTGACTTTTGGTTTTCTGTTTCAGGCTGGTTTCATTAGTTGATGTTTCTCTCTTACTTGCCACAGGCAATTTGATTAAGATTCTCTACAATTTTGCTTCTGTGCTTCCTCACTTGGACTCTCACAAATTCAGTTTCCTGTTCAAGAGCACAATTCTCCAAGCAGTTAATAGATGGTTGCAGACACTGGAGAATTGCTGTTCTTTCAACCTGTTAGCTGATCCATAGGACTTCATTTTACTCAACTTTCTTTAACCTACTAACCCTTATAAGGCCCCTCCACTTTTCTCACTTGTATTTATCCCCATTGCCGGCATGGCACATCCTTTCTGTAACTCCTAAGTTCCCTCCAACATATCTCCCTATTAAACGCTTGAAGTTGACAGGAGATTCTTCAAACTTCTCAGGCATGGAGTAAAGACATGCCTTGTTACAAGTGTCATTTCGACTCTTCCTGACAACATAAGGACAGTCCTATTGACTTGCAAAAGAAAGCCTGTCCCCATTCTCAAGCAGAAAATTGTCTCTGGGTGTTCTGTATAAAAGATGCTTTGTGTAATTGGAAGAAGAGATGAGAATGAATAGAAATTCGAAATGCATTCTCTCTTGCTACATATCTTATTTTATTCAGCATATAATTAAGGGAAGAACTTGGCACTTATCTCTGAAAGAAAGGATAGAACTCCTCAATGAATTTTGAATATTCAGCCACCAAGATTTCTGTTTCTGAATGAACAGCTTGGTTGAGATTGTGTTCGTGTACATTGAAAGCCACTCAGTGAAGCCTAATTCACAGTTATCAGAGTTTATGCCCAGCACACATCTTTCCCATTTTGACTATGATGCAATGCAAAGAGTTTCTGTATTGTTCTAATAGAGTAAATTCAATCTATGAAAACATTTAAAATATGCTTTTAATTGTTTAAGATAAAAGGGATTAGGAGCAATTGCTTTTTATATATAGTTTTTTTTCTTTGTATGACAATTTGATTCTGACAAACTTAGTCTCTAGAATATCTACTTGATCATCACCAGAACTTTCTTAGAAGTAAATGAGAAGGTGCATGGAATTACCTGGGATAAATTCTATCACAGAGCAAGTGCTCAGTGAAATCCTGAACTGAATCAGTTTTCGCCTGACTAGTCCAATCGCAAAAGGAGATCTTCTTCTTCCCTACCCTGATACTTCCCTATTTATAAGAGTTCCATCCTTCAGAGCATCTCTCCCCTCTTTGGAGGGGGCAGTGGAAGTTGGAAGATGAGAGCTTCAGACATGGTCAGGAAGTAGTAGTGACTTTTATAAGGTCAAAACCAGATAGAAATAGGTGAGATCTATATCAAAGTGTTAAACGGGAGTCAGAAAATCCAACAAGGCATGTGTAGAGTGTAACTCTATCTCTGTAATGATTTAATATTCTTTTCAGTATGAAAGCCTACCAGACAAAGGAAAATAAGACCATATTTCATAGTGAATTTTGATATCTTATATCCCTATATTGGGAGATCCTTCAATCACCCTCAAAGCAAAACCATAGCTGCAGCTTAAGCAAATCACAACAGATTTATCTATAATATCCTGAGAACTTCACAGTCTGTTGCCCTATTTAACCTTCTAACAGCATTCACTTGCACAGATTCTAAGACGTATCTTGAGTCAGAGAAGGAGGAACTAGAGGTGATTCATTTATTATATAGACACATGGGATCCTGCTGGACATCATGGGCAATGTTCCTTCATTGACTCAAATTTTATAGTTAAAAAAGCTCCTTCCTCTAAATCTGTTCCATTGATACCATAGTAATGGCCAAGAAACACTGATCACTAACTCCTATTTGTTCTTTTTTTAAATAAAAAAAAGAAAAAAAACCTATTAGTCTTTATTTAACCCTGACTTTGTGAGGTTGGTTTCAAAGGGCCACAGATAAGTTTCATCTCTACATCAACATCCTATTCTAGTGTGGCAGAAAAATAAGTGGAGTCTGTTTTCCTACCTATTAAATCTAACCTTGATTACATAGCTTGCTTTGGTGAAAGGACAATTAGAAAATACTACATAGGCAGAAGAAGGGGAAAGTACTTGATTAATATCTTGTGTTTTCTCCTGCTGCCCTGAAAGCATGCTGGGAAAGCCCGAGCTGGAGTATGAGTGATAAAGAGAAGTCGGCCAAGATGGAGCTCACTGACCTCACCAGCCTGACAGCTATTGTACACAGGAAGGGGGCTAATAAGTGCTGACTTTCCTGCCAGCTGTCAGTAGAAGAGATGTTACTTCAAGCCACAACATTTTGGAGTGGTTTCCTTTGTAGCAACAGGTAACAGATATTTCTGGTTTGATGGTCCCTCATCAGCCACCTTCTACAGATAATAAAAGGTTTGTTTTTTAATTGAAATTGATCAGATGGTGAAGATAATATATTTATTAATATAATTATGTTCCCATGACTGTTTGTTTGTATGGAGAGTTTAAGATAAGTAGATAAAATGCAATAACTAGAAAATGGAAACAAATAATAGGGAGGAGGTGAAAAAATAAAAATGAAAATAAATTTTAAGATGAAATAAAAAATACAATATGCTGGGCATAAAGGACTGTAGTGTGGATAGGATTTATCCAACTCTTCTTGAAGGTCCTTGGTAGACAAATGAAAAGCTACATATTTTTCAACATCGACCAAAAGTAAACATATCAGTTCTTTAGGATAAACAGAATATTTACCACACTGAATTCTCATAATTTGAAAATATGAATTGTTTTTACAGGAGACAGGAAGAGTCATAAAGGAAGTGTTTCCCTCAAGCCCATCTAGTATTAGGATGTAATAACTTTCCAAAAAAAAATAGTTAACATGGAACCAAAATTTGTGAAGAAATTTTTCCATATGCTGCTGAAATTAATATTCTTTCAAAAATATTTAAGATTCTCAAAGTGTGTGTTTATGTAGGAAACATGAATAGTAGTGGGAACAGAATGAATCACAATTGGTTTTGTGAGAAAAATGTAAGGGTTGTAAGAATCAAAGGGGAGTTGTTTGTGTCCACTCAAATACATCAATAAATAGAAAATCAGCCAGGTAATTCTGAAGAGTTCCTAAACATGACAGCCTGATAGTAATAGTCATGAACAATGGTCAGAATCATAAGCCTGAACAGAAACCATCATACAAAAGTACTTCCACAAGGGCATATGCCCTTGTCCTCTGATTGACAACCTACTTCTTAATAATCACCATGACCAAATATTTCTTTTTAATTCTGCTCATTTGTGCCTTTAAAAAGTTGCCCCTTACTTCAGCCTTTGAATATGCCTGGGATGCAGCATGACATGCAGATTCACATTGCATTGTTATGAAATTCCCCAGTAAACTTCATCTCAGAGACTCTCTGAATTTTCTATTTTTGAATTGGCAGTATGAGGAGTGAATAGCATCAGGAATCAATAATTAAAAAAAAAAAAACTTGATCACTCAGTACAGACACAAGTCTCCTCTTCCTGGCATAGCTCATCTTTAAGGTTTCTGTTAGAGAAAATGTAAATAACATTCCCAGGTTTAAAACAGGAAAATTAGAATCTGAACCCAGCTCTTTCCAATTTAAAATCCAATGTCTTGAAAGCTGCAGTGATACATCAGTAATGATTAGAGAATGAAATCATAAAAAGATACCAAAGAACATTTTGAATCTTCCAATACCAGTCAAAGACTGGAGCAAGCCTGCTCTTCAGAATGGTCTGGATTATTTATTTGTTATTTACTTGAGTTGACACAGTAATTTTGATTCTGATAACTCTCATGTTTCTTTCACAATATCAAATCTGATTCATTTTATTATAACTGATATTCATGTTTCTAACATAAACATACACTTTGAAAATCTTAAGTTTTTTGAGAGAATATTAATTTTAGCAGGTTATGGAAGAATTTATTCACAAAACTTTCATGTTATATCTTTCTTTTTTGTGGAAGGCTACAATATTCTAACACTAGTTGTCAGGTGGGCTTGGGAAAACACTGCCTCTTACATCATTTCCTGTCTGCTGTAAAAACTATCCACATGTTTTCTTTAAATGTTCTCTTTATCCTAAAGAACTGATATGTTTACTTTTTGCTCATGTTGAGCGATAGATATGTCTCTATTGGTGAAATTATTAAGGCCACTCCACGTAGTTAAAAGGAGATTTATTTAATGGCGTAACTTACAAATTAAGGAATAGGTAGGTCGCGGAGTCTGGGGAAGGCGTATCACAGTCCAGCGGTGTTCTCTGGAGCTCTGCTCGGTCCACCTCTCCAGTCCAGGGTCCCGCAACAGAGAGAGCGCCCGCCGATCCAGATCTCGGGTCCCCCGGTGCCTCCCTTGGTCCCGCCTTGTAGGCGTGACAGTTGCCGAAGTCTCAATGGGGGTTGGAACTTCCAGATCAAAGCTGGAATGGCTACCCACTACATCTCCCCCTTTTTGTCTAAATAAGAAAGTTCTAACCTAATACAAGACTATATACAAAGGAATGGTTATCAAATATTGTCCAGGAATAATGAGGGATAATGACCTAGATAAGATGGAAGTACAACCAATGCAAACAATATCAAGCAAGAAACACATACTAAAGTCCAGAGAAGTTTAGAGCATAGGTAAATGGCATGTTACAAAGATCATTCCAAAAGGTGTCCTATCCTAAAGAACCTGAATCTAATACTTAATATGTTCTATCTACTAAGTTGTAACTATAACTGCTAGTCTTCAATCCCATCAAAGACCTGAGAAGGAATATAATGGTACCTGAGAAATGGTAGATGGATGCAAGCAACTTTCGGGAATCTTGCGAGAGTAGACTGAGACAGCTGGCATCCTGGACAGTCACCTAATGTTTCTCAGCATTGTTGGTGCATTCAAATTGGCTACAGGCCTAAAGTATCTGACAGACCATTTTCAGAAGCAGGAATTCTGAAAGACCATCTTACCCTGTCTTGGCAGAGTACGGTGGTCGCTTTCCTTGTGTCCCACTTGTCCAGAAAGGATAGCATTGCATTAGTACTGTCCCTGGTTCTATGGAACTCTGCAGGCGGGTTTAGGTACCCGCCAGCCGGGGAGGAGGCTGAGGGCGGGAGCCACCCAGGCCTTTGGAACTTGCCCCACGTGAGCGCCAGATATTGGTGAAATTATTAAGGCCACTCCACGTAGTTAAAAGGAGATTTATTTAATGGCGTAACTTACAAATTAAGGAATAGGTAGGTCGCGGAGTCTGGGGAAGGTGTATCACAGTCCAGCGGTGTTCTCTGGAGCTCTGCTCGGTCCACCTCTCCAGTCCAGGGTCCCGCAACAGAGAGAGCACCCGCCGATCCAGATCTCGGGTCCCCGGTGCCTCCCTTGGCCCCGCCTTGTAGGCGTGACAGTTGCTGAAGTCTCAATGGGGGTTGGAACTTCCAGATCAAAGCTGGAATGGCTACCCACTACATGTCTCAGCAAATGGCATCCCATGAGTTGCTTGTTTGAGGGAATTAGACTTTCTGGCCTAATGTGAATTGCTCATATTCATACATCTAATTCTTTAGAAAGAAAGAGACAGAGACAGAGACAGAGAAACAGAGAGAGAGAGAGAGAGAGAGAGAGAGAGAGAGAGAGAGAGAGAAGAGTATTTCAGTTTCTTTGCAAGGGTTTGTGGAACTTTAGCATAGCAAACACATGCTGACTCATGCTCTCCACTTGTTCATGCAAGAATAAAGAGGATTTAAGAAGCCTCTACTATGTTTCTAGAGTGCTGGATAACCAACACAAAACTACAAAGGCAGAGCCAAAACCATCCAAGCACTTGCTGAGGCCTCAGAATCCACAAACTATTAATCACAAGAAGCCCATTTTCTCACTGGCTTTTTGAAGTAGACTAAATATGCTGCATTTTTAATGACTATGAAAACCAGAATTATACCTGCATTAGAGGAGAAACATTGGTATCTTCCTTTATGAACATTTCATAATGGAGAAAACTAAGGTATGGTATCGGTACTTCTGTTTTAAAAACAATCTCCCATGTTTGACAAATCAGGGAAATGTGTCTTGCTGAAAGAAATGTCATTTGAATAAATAATTGACCATATCAACATGAAATAACAGCATGAAAATTGCCTATGATACGATTACAACATGTGACTCTGTGTATAGCAACCATTAGAATGTTAATAAATCCTATTTACCTTGACTACACAATACCTAAGTGGGCCATTTGTATTTATAGCATGTAGGTGCTATCTTTAATGAAGAATTAGCTGATGGTAATAATATTATCCTCCTTGAGATGGAATAGTAACCAAAGTAACAGTAGGCTAGTATTAATTACTGGTTTCTTATACACAAAGGAGAGCATTAAGTATTTTCTATGTTGCTACTCATACATCAAATATTTACGGAAGTTGCTAGTCAAAACTTTTGTAATGTCTGAAATAAGGTCATGAACAAATTGGTTTTTCCTTTAAAGAATGGAATACATATCTATAAAGAGAGACATTGAAGTTTTTGGTGACTTTAAAGGTGTGTGTGTGTGTGTGTGTGTGTGTGTGTGTGTGTGTGTGTGTGTGTATCATTCCCAAGGTCATAGGTGATAAATAGAGTCTGGACTTGAACCTGACACTAAGGATTTTGCTCTTCATTGTATCATTGCACTTCTGTGCTTTCCATATTGTTGTTGATTAGATGCCCCACTGGCCTGATTTTGTTACCAATTGTCGAAGCCCTTTTCTCTGTTTCTTTAGTACATCCAGCCAGCCGGCAGCAAGCACATACTAGTTGCTCTTCCAGGCAATGGGGACATCATCTCCATGAGTGAGCATATTCTGAGGTAGGTGAGTACTGTGTGAGAGTAGGCCCTACTCCCTCTGTTTGTCTGATTCCATCCCCGAGGCAGTTTCTGATCCTATTCTTACATTACATAGAAGAGGCTCTTTCTGTGTCTAAGCAACATTCATTTTCATTTGAATCAACGTATCACAGTTGAACAGATGCTCATGAATGAATGCTAATGTCATTTAACAGATGCTCCTGGGAAAGAGCCCTCCCATTTTGACTTTCAACAGTTTGGCGACATTTCTTTCCATGAGAAGCTCTTTAAATTCATACCAGTTTTGAATTTGGGTATGAAGGAAAAGACCAAGTACCCAAGATCCTTAGAGATTCTCTGATTAGTTTCTACTTTTCTAGTGTGGATTCATACTGATAGTGACTTATCAAAAATGCAGTCATAGAATTTAATTAGGTTTCCTAGATACCATCCATTACAAGGACTTCAAAACTTGGGAACACACTGAGCTAACCTCCAGAGTTTGTGAAAACAGGCATCCGGATGTAGATCAGTGGAAGTAACAGAAAAGCCAAGAGCCAGACAGAAACTGGATGTCAAAGATAAAAGACTTTAAATTAGATTTCATAAAAATTCAAAACATTTGCTCTTTGAAAGACACTATATTAGTTGTTGTGGGAAAAATCACAGAATACCACAGAATTATGACTTTAACAATAGAAACTTATTTTTCATAGCTCTGGAGGCTGGAATGTCAAGACCGTGGGCTGGCAAGATTGCTTTCCTGTGGAACATTTCTCTTTGGGCTTGCAATATGTCTTTTTTCTGTACACGTGTGACCCCAGTGTCATGCTATCTGTGTGTGTGTGTGTGTGTGTGTGTGTGTGTGTGTGTGTGTACCTTTCAGGTTCCTATGAAGACAGTAGTCAGATGGGATGAAGAACCAACCTGATAGCCACAGTTTAAGAGAATCACCTTTCTAAATAAAGTGTCTTTCCTGCTGAGTCCATTTGTTTGTGTGTGTGTATGTGTTTTCAAGGCTTACTATGTAACAAATATAATCAGAGATGGAGACTATCAACTTGATAGTGAGGTGGCATGGGAGGGGTTTGAGGTAGGATGACTGAGAGGGACTGGAAGAAGGAAAGGGAGGAAAAGTGGTATCATTCTATTTCAATTAAAACTTTTTTTAAAAGGTTCTAGCCAACTCTAGTCATGTTGAGTTATTGGGAGTTGGGTCTTAAACATATGGAGTGAGGAGGTGGGACACAATCTATCCATTTATAAACTAAAAAAAAAAAAAGACAAGCTACTTGATTCAATAAAATACTGATAATAGATATATTTGGCAAGAAATTCATAGAACTTAGGAAGATACTTTAAGACTTTGGGAGGTGGCTCAGTGTGGAGTAAAATAAAAAGAAGACAACTGGCTTAAGAAAATAAGCAGGAGATTCTTAACTGGCTGAACTGGAAGTCAGTGGACATTGTTTGCTATTATAAATTACATCAGTTACTGAGTCATTAAAAACAAACAACTGTCAAAGATCCCCTCACTGAAAATTTGACAAACAGGGGCTATGATGGCTATACTTGGTTGTCATCTGACTATATCTGGAATTAACTGAAACCCACGCAGTTGGGTACACCTGTGAGGAATTTTTCTTAATTAAATCACATAAAGTGGAAGGACTCACTTTTGAGATGGGAAGAGCCACCATTAATCCAGGCCATGCCTCCTGCTGGCAGCCTATATAAAAGACATGGAAGAAGGAAGCTTGTTCTTTTTACCTGCTTGTCCTCACTCTGGCTGGCAAGTCCATTCCTTAACTGACATCAGGCTCTACTTCTTAGGGATTCTGACATACACTGAAAACATCTAGCTGAGACATCTAGCCTTGGAGACTGAACAACTACTTGATTCTTGGACTTTCTATTGGGAGATAGCTATTGTTAGAATAATTGGACCCTATAAGCCATTCTGAAAAATCCCAATTTACATGTTACTGCACCAACTGATTTACAACACTCCTGATAGCGAATATCACCAAAGATGCTCAAAACCTGTTACCATTATTTCTAAGATGAATAATATCTGACAGGCTTCACATGAATTTCTTATCATTAGTAAAATATGTTTTGTTAAATTTAAATTTTTCTGTTTCTTTTTCTCTGATTCATCAATTAATGTCATTTTGCTGGTATTTTTTATCCTTATTAATGTCTAGAAGTTCCTTATAGTTTACAGGTGTTAATCCTTTGACTAGGGGCTGGAGAAAGGATTTAGGAACTAAAGTGCCTACCATACAAGCATGAAGACCTGAGTTCAGATGCTTAGCACCCACAGAAAAAGCCAAGCATGTAACCTCAGAACTGGGAAAACAAAAACAGGAGTATTTTAAAGCCTGCTGGCCAGCCAGTTAGCTGATCAGTGGGACTCAGCTAGTGCTGCTGTTCCAAAAACAAGGTGGTAAGCAATTAAGGAAGACACCTGACATTGAGGTCTTGCCCCTAAATGCATGCATGTACACACACGTGCACCCACACTAACATGTATGCACACAAGCACACTAAGAAAAGTATTTGCCCATCACACGTAACATATATTCTCCAGCTTGCCATTGTACACCAATTTTGTTAACCATGTCTTTTAATGTTGAAAATTCACAATTATGTAGTGTCATGTTGAATTTTTTTTTTTAAAGTTTGTCAGCCTTGATGCAATAGTGCGATGTTTGGTAAGATTTACCCTTGACCAGTTAAAAACCATTTCCTAGATACCACAACATTTCAATACAATTTTTTTGTAATTAACTTTCATAGTTATTAATTCTTATGTTGATGAAGTACATTTAACCACTCTGACCAAAAAGTGGTAAAAGTTTGAACATATGCATCAGAAAATAAGATACACAAATGGCTGATAGGCACAGAAGATATGTTCAGTATCTTTATGAGAGAAAAAAAAGAGTAAATAAGACTGTGATGAGATTCCACTACACATTCAATTGCATGACTGCAATGAAAAAGACCAGGAGTAGTCAGAATATGGATGGCCTGGAATTGCCACAGTGGCTGTGGATATATAGGAACAAAACTACTTTGGAAAACAACTTGGCATTATCTTAGAAAGCTAAAAAGACATTATATAATACTATAATCCCAATACTAGGTATTTTATTTATTCAAGTGAAATGAAACCTTCCTTACAAATCATGTATATAAATGTTAATAGTCATAACATATAAATGTTAATAGCAGTTCTATTTATTATGGACAAAAATTCAAAGCCATGCCCACAAATGTCAACAAGGGAATAGATAAACAGATTGTGACTCTGTCTAGATAATAGAAAAACACACATAAATAAAAAGCATAACCTACTGAGATAGCTAGAAACATGGAGAAATCTCAAAATTATACCAAAGGAAAAGAGCCATTGATCCCATATATCAAATTCTATAGCAGAAAATTAACTGAGAATAACATAAAACGTATTAGTATGGCCTGGAGCTGAGAGGGAGATAGCCAAATATAGAGACTGTAGAAAAGTTTTAGAGTTATATGACTATTCATGGTGGTAGGTCTATGGGTATATATGTCTCTCAAAATTCACCAACTTTTCATCATAATAGGTACTCTGCTAAGTAACTAAAATTCATAAATTCTTAGGTTCAAAAATCTTATATACTTAACTAGAATTGGGGAGTCTAGGGATGAGTATCTTCAAAAATCCCATCTGTGGCTAGTTCTAAATTCAGACATACAGGAGAATGGCAAGATGTAACAAAGTGCAGCCATCCCTGAGCTGCCCCACACTAAGACAACTACCCAGCTTCTGCTTGATGTCTCCACTCCCTTCAACACCATTCTCTACCAAGAGAAGGTGACCACTTAACTTACAGTTCTTGAAAGCTCAACTGAAAAGCAGAAAGTCATTTAATTTCTTGCTCTTGTGAATTCCAGTCTATGCTGGGAACCAGTGCCCTCAATACAGTGATTTGTGGCTTGAGACCCAAGAGCCTCTGTTGTCTTTGCCACTAGGCTTCAAAGAGCTGGCATCCTGAAAGGGGGAATGGAGAGCAGATCACAGGCCTGCAAATTAGTGTGTCTCACTTCTCATGTTCCATCCTTTATGAATACAGCCTCACCTAGACACAGAAAAACATGAAAATAACCTAGCTGTGCACCCAGGAGGAAAGGGAAGTAAGTTGAGTTAATGGCTAGCTAGTCTCTGATACATAGTGATAATGTATAAAGTCCTGTAATTAAATAAGAAAAGAACATCTTGCTGTAGTGTTGCACATTTGTAATTTCAATATTTCAGAGGCTAAATCAGTCAGAGCATGAGTTCAAGGCCAGCCTTGGTGATGTGACAATACTGTCTCAAACAAACCAAAACAACTTAATAAAAAGTAAGCAAAACATTGGCATACAAATATGTTTAGTTAATAATGAGAGAAAGAAAAATAAAAACACACTAAGGTGAACATCTTCACACTTGGTTGATTGACAAGAGATCAAATCTCTGAAGAGTTCAAGTGTTTTCCGAGATGCTTGGCGCAGCAGTCACTCTCCGTGTCTGTCTGTCTCCTGTGGCTTAACCTAGAGATCTCCTGCCAAAAATAGTTCATGTACAGACTTACAGTGGCAGCCTTCACAAAGGGGTGGGATGTGGTAAACAAGCATGGCAGCTTCCCAAAAGGATACCAGTACTACTTGCCCATCCATAGTAGTAAACACCTGTGCTAATTTTCACATAGCCTTCATTGACTCTTCTATCTTTATCTCAAACTTACTATTGTTTTGCCATGTATTCTGGGTTTACTCTCCAGAAAAATTACTTGTACCTAAATCTTTGTTCCATAATCTGTCCATAAGAGAAGCAAAAAAAAAAAAAAAAAAACCTCAGAATACAATGATTCTTGCTGCTCTTGCCTCTGATCGAAGGATAAATTTGTATAAAACCTTCCTGTGAAATAATTCAGCATTATGTAGCAAATTTCAAGAAATAAATCATAACTAAATCCTAAAGAAATCTGTGCA